TAATTAAAAAATTATATTTTACTTTCCAGTTAATTTTTTATTTTATTTTATTTGGACGAACTAAATATGGCCCTATATCAATTCAGTTCTTCCCATATTGTCATGATTAATTTAGGTAGTGCGGGTTTCAAACATTATCGTACCATATATCACTTTACTTGACCTAAACTACTACCCTAATTAAGTTAAAGATGAAACGAAAAGGTCAAATAATTGGCGAGTGGAATTTGAATAGTATTATATGAGACAAGAGTTAACTTTCAACTGTGTATATATGGTTGAAAGACAAAGGAAAAGTAAAGAGAAAATATTTGACAATGAATAGTTTTTTTATTCAAACAACATTTATGGGAAAAATTATTTAATTCAACCTATTCTTGAGATGTTTATTTTTATGAATCACAATCATCGTGGTTTATTAAAAAAATAATTCAATTAATATATATATATATATATATATATATATATATATATATATATAACTTCTCGTTAATTAATTTTATTTATTGTCTGCACCCAATACACCAACCACTCTCATCATATGAAATGAGTTTTATATCCAATAATGAAACTCTTGGAAAAATAGAATGAATCAAAATATAATTGCTACACCAAAACTAGGAGCAAAGAACCAACTAGATTGCATAGTAGATATAAAAGGAATATAGAAACAAAAATAGCAATTGAACGTAAGAATGCAATTGCATTATGAGGCGACAATAGAACAAATCAAGCAAAATATTGTTATTACATGCAAGGGAAAGGTGAATTAATAAAGGAATGTGCTACATGTATAAATTCAAGCTCAAATTCTTAAGCATTATGTAATATTTTATATGTAATTTTTTTATTTATTCACTAGCAAAATATATTCATTTTGAACATTTCTAAGCTAATTAAGCTCGAGGTCAAGACTCAATGACAAGTACAACATGAAGATTTGGAATGTGAGTTTCATTGAATCAAAGACATCTATGAACATTTAGCACTCTAGTTTTGATGATAACAAAATGATGATATTGATGTACTAATATTTTGACTAAGTCATTACAAGAAATGTGCGTTCAAGAAAAAAGTTATGCAAACAAAATACTTTAAACTAAATAAGAATATGTTTTTATCAAATGTGTAAAAATATCGAGTAAAACTTAACTCTTATATGTACAACTTTAGTTTCATCCAAAGAATAAGATCAAGTCCATAAACTTGTCTTATAAAAGTATAATTGTTCATGTTTTTCTGAAGGGGTTTTTGGTTTTCTATTAAACACATAGAAAGACATGCTTAATAATGAGAAGACTAAAAAAAATATAAAAAAATCAAAATTCAATTAAAAATCAACACGTTTTTTTTCCATCCTTATCTTGTGCTTTCGTGGCCATCTGCATATTAACCCATCACCCTTATTCTCACAACATAACTCAAGATCATCCTTTGTCGTGGCTAGTAAAGAAATGACATTGTTGTCGTCGACTTTTTGACCTATGCCAAAACCTACTTGAGGTTGGTGCCGAGGGCATTGGTTGTGGCTTTGATGGACATGGATATCACCTTTCTTCCATGGACATACAACCATTGATTTGCATACAAAAATAAACTTATCCCTGGGTGGTGAGTACTAGTAATGTGAAAAAGAAAGAAAGATTTGAATTTTCAAACAAAAAACCTAAATAACATAATAGAAAAAGGAAAAAATGCAAGTGATATGAGAATGGAAAAAAAGGTAATGACTTAAGAAAACAATAAGAAGATCCGAGGGGACACACACACAAGGCATTTGAGGATTTGGGGTTTGGAGAATGTAATGTGCAATAGTGATATGAAGATCCAAAGGGTTTTGTGCAAATTGTAACTTGTGTGTTTAAAGCTTTATTACTTGTGTGTTTTGTGTTTGGTAAGTAATTCAGCTTTATATCTCTATCTAGATGATGATTGATGATGAAAATAACTTTTAAAATTGATTTGAAAAAAGAAATGGTATGAAAAATTGAGATTATAAGTTTTCACTTAAAATAATTAATGATTATCTTAAGTAATAATCGATTATTTACTCTGTTTTTCAATAACTTGAGAAGTTGATGTTGCAATAATTGACTATTACTCAAAATAATCGATTAAACTATTATTGGTTGATTTCCAAATCTGCAAAAAATAAAATAATTGATTATCCATGTAAATAATCGATTATTTATTTCAAAAAACTTATATATATCATTTTTCACATTCATAATAGAAAAACTTGATTCTTTGTGATATCTTTTTTGAAAACACTCTTTAGAGAATGTTTTTCTTTGCAAAAAGGTTTGGTAACCTTTGTGTAAACCTCAAGAAAAACTTCAAGATTTGAATTGATCATCATCTTCATGAAGTGATAGGATAAACTACTTTGGTTGATTTACCTATTCTAACTTGTTCTATACATTAGGTGAATTCATTCATTCGTTAACTTCTGTGATTTGTTTTTTTAAGTAGGTTTCTTAAGAAAAAAAAATCTTGTAGTGGAGTGCTACAAGTAGCTGCTTTTTGGGGTGCAAAAAATGGTTTCTTTAATAGTGTAGAGGTATATTGCATATGAAAATTTTTCTTTCTAATCATTTATGAACCAATTTTAAATTTTTATTAAAAAGGATAATTACATTACAATGAAAAAAAATAAATTACGAGAAAAAATACACAATAAGTAGATATTAAAAATAAAATAGAATTACATTATACAAAATTAATTTTCATCATTATTATTTATAAAACGTTCCCAAATATGTTCAATAAGATCTGCTTGAAATCTAGTAAGGAACGGTTGCTTGAAGAAGCAACTCTCTCTCTTCTTCAAACAACTCATGTTACTACATCAGAGTCCTCCAATGGCAAGAAACCAGTGTTTGAGTTGCTTCATAGGACAAGCAACTCCCATTGGAATTGCTCTTAATAACCTTATGACATTATTTTTTTTATTGCAAGGTGATCATATCATTTTATTAATCATTAATTAACCGATAAAATTATGTCATAATAATTAGTATTTTACGATATTTTTCCTTTCTAATTAGAATTGAATTTTTATTTTAATAACTTAATCAGTATTTTAAGATATGTAATGTATAAGTATCTTTATTATATATAATTAAAATTTATAATAAATTATATATAAAAATAAATATTATGTTTGAGTATATAAATTATATTTAAAA